GGCCAGGTGCAAAGGAGGAGCCACTGCTATTGGGACATCTACCTGTCTGCCTGAGGACAAAAGGAAGGCTAATGAGCTCTGGGATGTAAAGTTGCTCCTGGTGGGCAGATGAGCAGGAGACTGGTAGGTGGCAGTGACAGTACCTTCCCTAAGCCCTGAGGGGAAGGATGCAGTTTATAGCCGAGCTTCAAGCTTCCATGGAAGCAGGAATGTAGGAAAGATGGAGGCCAGGACTGTTGCTGGGAGGTATGGGAGCCTGTGCCCACCTGGTAACCTCACGCTTCGACTCTATGCAGTTCATACCCCATCTTCCCTGTAGCCTCACCCTGGACCCCAACAGCCAGTGCTAAGAGACCTGTGCCGAGATGTTAAGGAGTCTGGCTAAATTCCACTAGTGGGAGATTTCACCCACAGGGCCACAACCTCTCATTATTGTCTTGCCCCAGAGATGTCCCATTCCTTCTGTGCCATGGATCAGAAGTTACTCATCAGTGCTCCCAGCATCCCCACAGATGGACTTTCCTGAGTGGAAGTTGGGCCTCAGTTGTAGATGATGTCTCCAGAGCCTTGGCCCGTACAGATGTGTGCTCAGGATATGCAGAGCTGGGCCTTGGCCCTGAGCAACAACTCCCTATGCCTGGGTCGCATGGGGAGCCCCCATCTCAGCCTGACTGAGTCATCTCATGACAGATCCATGTGACTAGTATGAAAAGTAAGAGTCCTGTGGTGTGAGCAAACAGGAAGTGTGGGGTTGGGTGGGTTGGCCCTGGGGGAAGCCTGGCCCCACTTAGCCCCTCCCCTGAGTTAGAGGGCTGAGTGGGGGCTCTTGCCTGTGTCAATAGATCCTATTAAGCCTGAGGTGGCACAGAAGGTCAAAGTCAGGACCCCTAGTCTGGGGGCTGGAGGAGGAAAGAAAGCTGCTAGGGTAGGTCAGCTCCTCAGACCATATTCTGATGTATGGGTCTAGAGGCTGTGAGCAAGTCATAGGGCCTCAGAAACCAGGGGATCTCTGAAACTGGGAGGCAGCAAGAATTTCGTGGACAGGGAAGATGTGCCTCCTGGAATTGAGTGCACACTCTCTACGAGGTGGGATAGCTTGGGCAAAGCCTGGGGAGGGGGAGGTGGGCAGGAGGGCTGGATCACTGGACACAGCTTGGTTTGAATGGTATCCCCTCCTATGAGGACTGTGGTTTTGACCACCCCCATTTCCCTTTGACAATTGGGCTGCCCCCCCCCCACACACACACAGCTATCACTCCAAGCCCTGTGCTTTCCTGCCTCAGGTCTCCCCACAATCACCCATCCTCCTCATTTTTTCAGCACAACAAGGCCAGTCAGCCTGCCCATGGCGTCCCCCAACTCTCTCCTCTCTATGAACATTTCAGCAGTCCACACCCCACACCTGCACCGGCCGACATCAACCAGAAGCAAGGTACAAATCTGGGATGGGAGGGGCCCAATGAGACAGGTGGCTGGATCCTTTTTACAACTAGAGAACCTAGTGCTGTGCAAAATCGGGGCCCTCCTAGATGCCAGAAAAGTGGATCAGGGAACCTTGGCGGTACCAGAGGGTTGGGGGAGATGGTGCCAGGTCAGAATTTGAAGGCTTCAAGTTGAGGTAGAAACCTAAATCCTGAGTGACCTCCCAATGCCAGTATGAGAGCAGGCATTTGTGTAAAGCTGATTAACTATAACACTTGTAGCTGTTCCCTCCCGCAGTGAGAAAATGGAAAGTGGTGGTTGTGATGGCTGATTCACCTCAGCCTCAGGCAAAGTCATTCTGAAATCAGCCTCTGTCGACTGTGGGAAACCTGCTGACTCAAAGGGGGTGCTCGAAACCCTGGCTCCACAGGCCAGGTTCCCCCAGCCTCGGGGGTGGGGGGTGGGCAGTAGAGGCCCCAGTTGCAGACTATTAGTGGCAAGGCCTGGCCTCCCATTCCTGAATGACTCCAACTCTGCCACTGACCATCCAGGGTCCTCAGTCAGGTCACCCAGCCCTTCTGCCTTTAGTTCCCTAGCTTGTAAATGCAGCACTGTTATCACACTGGGGTAGTCCTGAACAAAGCCCTATGGTACCCTAACATGGAAGGTGGGATCTTAGAAGCCCCCCACAGGAAGCTCTAGAATGCAGTAACTAGATAAAGTGACCTCCAAGTCAGGCTAGCTCACTTACTCGGCCCTCTCCACTGCAGTTCACAGGCCTCTGCAGACCTCTGACCTCTCTGGCTTCTACTCTCTGACCTCAGGCAGCATGGGACAGCTCCCCCACACTGTGAGCTGGTGAGTGTGGGCCCAATGGGAAAGGGGCACCTCCTGATGTAGACTCTTACCTGCCCTTCTTTTTTCCATCCTGTGCTGAGCACCCTGCTGCCAGTTCTATATACATACCAGAGCTGGCCAGCAGCTCTATCATTCCTCAGGTAGCCCGACGTATTCCCTTTGGCAAGACTGGAGACTAGGCTACGGTCCCAGCCCTGTTGCCCTTGAACTCTGCTTCACTGTCTGAGACTTGAATGAGAGAACCTTGGACTGTTCAGGGTTATCTATGTGAGGAAGAAAAGGTAGGCCTGAACAGGGAGATAGCAGCATGAATGGCCATAAGCGAGGCTGTTCCTTCTCAGCTACCTGGTGGGCAGGAGGATACTTCCCACTCACCTCAATGCCTATTGCTGGCTGGACCCTTCCTTGGCTGAGTTGCTTGAGGGCCAGGGTCCCTCCTTGCCTCAATTGTGCCTGCTTGAGCCTAAGCCCTGGGCCAGTCTGCTTGGAGAGCCTATTTAGGCTGGGCCAGGAAAAGCCAGCCTAGACCCCAAGTCAGTAGGCCCAACTGTGGGCCAAAAGGCCTGTCTTCGCTTGAGTTGGGTCTGGCAGGCTAATTGGCCCTTTGCTCAGCAACCAGAGTGTGACTTGGGCAGGTCTTTAGCCTCTTTGGCCTGAGGCGGTCACTTAACATCAGGAAAGCTTGGCTTCCCAGGAAGGCAGGGTAGGTCCCAAGGCCCAATCTAGAGGCCCACCTGTCCCTTTCTACTTGCCCTTCATCCAAGTTAAGCTGATTCCTCTATTTCTAGATTCTCCTTGGACAGAATTCCACTTTGAATACAAACCATGACTACCTCCATGAGTACCCCCAGCTTTGAACTTGCCAGGCAAGGATCTGGGCACCAGAAAAGCACTGCTGAAGCTTGCTGATCCTCAGGTCCCCGTCCTCACAGAATTCACTCTTAACTAGTGCACAACCCAGACAAGTGGCCAGCCAATTACAAGGCACTGTTAGCAGTGCTTTGATGGGACTGTAGGAACCCAGAGAGGCACCTCATCTAGTTTGGGATGTCAAGGGTTTTCATTTAGGATGACCAGGAGCTGAAGCAGGCAAAGTGAGCAAGAGAACAGTGTCGACAGTAAGTGCAAAGGCCCTACAGATACCAACCCTGTACTGACAGGGACATTTCATTTCAGGAGGCTAGGCTGGAGGGGACCTGGGGGCCTGCTGAGCTGGCTCCCCAAAGAATGCTGTCATTTCTACCCCTTAAGCATCAGTACTAGCCTGTAGAGCAGAGGTTCTCAACCTGTGGGTCGCGACCCCTTTGAGGGTCAAACGACCCTTTCACAGGGGTCGCCTAAGACCATCAGAAAACATACATAATTACATATTGTTTTTGTGATTAATCACTATGCTTTAATTATGTTCAATTTGTAACAATGAAATTGGGGGTCACCACAACATGAGGAACTGTATGAAAGGGTCGCGGCATTAGGAAGGTTGAGAACCACTGCTGTAGAGAAAATAGGCGCAGCACAGGTTGCCCTCTGGTGGCAGATGCTTAAAGCACACATTGGAGTGGTCCAAGCAGAAGCCAATTTCTCTCTCATCTATGGGTCAGGCCTGAGCATGGAGGGAAGTCCTTCCCCATATAGAGCCAGTAGCCAGACTGCTAACAGCTGTCTCTCCCAATCACAGGCCCAGCCCTCCTCTCTATCCCCTGTCCCCTTCCTGCGGATATAGACAGCACTTCCCTGCCCCCACTGCAGCCCCTGGCGCCCCCTATCCCAGGTGAGTCCCCTACCCTGCAGCCAGGCTCCTGCTTTCTGTTGCCCAGGCTTCAATGCCCACACAAGGCCATGTTCAGGCCACTGCTTGCCCTATGCTAGTCGTCTGTTCATCCGTCTGTCTGTCATTCTGCAGCACCTTGCTGCCCTGTGTCTGAGAATGAAGCCAGTGGGACTGCAAGAGTTCTAAACCCAGGCCAAACTGTGCAGCACAGCACCACAAAGCAGCCAGGGACAGTACATGCACATGTGTGCTTGAGCTCCTGCCTCTGTGCATGTGCAAGTCAGTCCGTGTGCAGGTCTGTATGCATTCATCTCTGTTCTGCATCCCTGCTGAGGGAAGGGCCAGTCAGAATTCTCCTGGGCATTCCCTGAGCTCCACCCAAGCTGAGGCAGCATTTCACATGTGTCTTCAACATCTGGCCTGCTCAGAGACCCTACACCAGTGTAAGCAGCAAGAGGCAGAGTGGTAGCCATACAACAGCAAGAAAGTAAAGTGGGAGGCATGTGTATATGTAAGCCCCTTTACTTAGCTCACTCCTTTAGTGACAGATGTATGCTAAGTATGGAACAAGGAATTCAGACATTTTCAGCCCTATGGAGCTCACCCCCTAGGGTAGGAGGTATAGACAGCACACCAGCAATTGAATTGGGCTATGCCCTGTGGGTGATAGGGAAGCCCCAAGGAGACCTCAGCCAGATTTGATGGGTCACAGAAAGCTTCATAAAAAGTGTTAACATCTCCTGAGTAGGGGATGGCTGGAGGTGGGAAGTGATGGGAAATGGGGGAAAAGATGCAGCTAGAAATGTCAGCAGAGCTGTAGGCAAAGGGAGAACTTCAGCAAGGTCAGGAGCACGCAGGTGTTTTTAAAAGGTCACTCTGGCTGTTGTGTGGAGAGAGTCCTAGAAGAGTCAGGAGAATGAGAAAGCACACAGGGTAGTCACAGGCTCATGAGGCTGAGCTGGTGAGGGCAGGTGGTGACAAGGGGAGAGATTCAAAAGCTATGTAGGGCTAATTTAGTAACCACCTAAAGGATGAATATATAGATTTTTGCAATGATGTCTTTGTGATGTGTTGGGAGCAGGTATTTGGATGCATCAGTGTACTTGTATGCAAGCCAATGAGGGTGGGGTATCTGTTCACCTGTCGTTTAATGTGCAGGGCTTCTGTGTTTGCCAGGGTCTGTCCTGCACACACCTGACTCAGTGTTAACTTTCTCCTGCCTCTAGGTTCACCCACCCATCCCTGATGCTAGGTTCCAGCGTACCTGGTCACCCAGCAGCCATTCCCCACCCGGCCATTGTGCCCCCCTCAGGGAAGCAGGAACTGCAGCCCTATGATCGAAGCCTGTGAGTGAAAAGGCACAGAGTTGGAAGGAGCAGGGGGGTGGGGACAGGGGAGCAGAATTCAGGTTCCCATCTATTTGTCAGTCAGGATACACATTTCTTCCACCAAGCCCAAGTCTTGCTGCCAGAGGAAGCCTTTGGTCAAACTGCTTTGTAGCTATTGCCACGGGCCCCTGTTTTTTGAGGCTCTGAAGCAGGAGGGATTGAGTGGAGTGAGAAACAAGGCTTTAGTCTGAGCCAAGATGGGAGGGGCTGAGAAGTCCTTACACATACTTTTCTTACTTATCTGCAATATTCCTAGAAGGAACAAATACTTAACTCTGGTCACCCATTTTGGAGCAGCTAAGAAAACACACACACACACACAACAGAATTTCACTAAAAAACCCCTAGTATCCATGCATTTACACATGCACTGGACACACTACAGGGTGGTAGCATTAGGTGTGCATGTGGAGACTCCCAAGTGACCTGGACATGTGCTCCTCAGGAAGACGCAGGCAGAATCCAAAGCAGAGAAGGAGGCCAAGAAACCAACCATCAAGAAGCCACTCAATGCCTTCATGCTGTACATGAAGGAGATGAGAGCCAAGGTTATTGCAGAATGCACACTCAAGGAGAGTGCTGCCATCAATCAGATCCTGGGCCGCAGGGTGAGGCCACAGGCAAGGTGGGCTGGCAGGGGTGGTACAAGCCTGATGATTGCCTTACACATCCCATCTACCCCTCCTTCCCCTTTGCAGTGGCACGCACTGTCACGGGAAGAGCAGGCCAAGTATTACGAGCTGGCCCGCAAGGAGAGGCAGCTGCACATGCAGCTATACCCAGGCTGGTCAGCGCGGGACAATTACGTGAGTGGCCAACAACACACAGGGATGGGTAGGGGAACCTTCAAGATTCCATGCCCTGGGCCACAGTCTCAGCAAGAAAGGACTATTGTCCTGAAGGCACAGATGAGGAAGGTGGTGGACTGGTGGAGGGTCCATGACCTCCCGTGGCTAGCTCAGGAGAGGATCAAGCAAGGGGAGCCGCCCCTGAAGGCAGACCCGTGTCCTGTTTTCTACCCAGGATCTATTCCCATGCAGGGCTGTTTCCCAGTATTTGATTGGGGCTCATGAGCAGAAGGGGAGAAAAGGGCCTGGAAGTTACTCTTCCATTCAAAACGGAGACAAGTGTGAGAGAGGGAGGAGGAATCCCTAATTGCCCCATATTACCTAGCAAGAATTGCAATCAAGAACCTGTGCCTGGAATCCTAGCCACAGCCAGGCTAGGCAGCAGGCTGCAGGTATCCCAGCCATTTGCTCACTGGGATTAGTGTCCTCCTCCCACATCTGAGGATCCCTCCCTTTACTCGCTGCAGGGGAAGAAGAAGAGGCGATCCAGAGAAAAGCACCAAGAATCCAACACAGGTGAGGCCTTCCCTCAGCAGTAGTGGAGTCTCCTCTCCAGGTCCCTATGTGACAAACAGCACTGCTCTAGCCCAGAGGGAGGGGCAGAGTACTTGGCCATGAACCTTCAATGCGTGGGCCCTCGACTCTGTATACAAGACCTGGCATCTCACAAGTCAAATCCCTACTTTAGGAACAGCTATACTAAGTCCTAGGGGTGACCAGTAGATGCCAGCACACTCCTACTACCTTGGCTAACCCTACCCTATTCACAGCTTTGCCTGTCAGGGAAAGTTAGTGAGGAACTGACAGTATGATCCATGTTAAACACAAACACTGCATCCTGGTTAGTTCTGAGGTGGATAGCAGATTGTCTGGAGACTGAGCCAGGCCCCATACCTAGGCCCAGTGATCACCCAGCCTGCTGGGTGGTGCCCAGCAATTTCTCTATCACACTGTACCCAACTCCCAAGCCCTGTTTTTCATTGCAGGTTCTAAGTGCTCTATTTAGAGGACCCAGGGAGCCCACACTCTGTTGCAAGTCTCCTTCCTGTGAATAGATTCCTGCCCCAACTCTGATCCACATTTATGAATGAAGGAGGGGGAGAGACAGACTTTCTCAACAGTGCTGTCCCCACATGCTACAACCAGGGCAGGGCAGACCTCAACCATTTTTCTGAAGTTACAAAATGGGCTTTACTTTCACATAGAAAAGTGTGTGGAATATGTTTTAAGTTACAGCACAAGGAGATATGGGTCAGGCAGACAGAGCGTTCGCAAAAATGAAAAATAAAATGGCAGCGAGTTTTGGGTTGGAGGCAGCCCTAAGGAAGAAGAGGCTGAATCTGGCCCCTCAAGTCACAGAAAGGAGCTAGCCTGATATGGTCCCTTCTCTTCCCCACCATTCTTCCCACTGCCTCTTCTGCCCAACTGGGTGCCGTGCCCGCCTTTCCAAATATCTTGACTCTGGGCGCTAGGGCTCCCACTGGGGCTGGCTGTGCCATGGAGAGGCCCTCTGCCTGTGGGGGCTGTGGGGTATCTGTGACTAGCTAACACTGATGTTACCTCTTCTTTCTGGGCCCTGCTCTGCCCTGCTGCCTGCCTGCTCGCCCTCTGCCCTGCTCTGCCCCTCTGGCATGGCTGTGAGCAGACCCTGGCTCGCCTAAGAAATGCCGTGCTCGCTTTGGCCTCAACCAGCAGACGGATTGGTGTGGTCCGTGCAGGTGGGTTTGTCCCCACCACCATCTTCCCTTTGCTTCAAGCTGCTTCCTTGACTCTGCACATGTTCTGCTGGGCTTATATAAGCCTTCCTGTGGCTCCCCAGCCCCATAGGATACCTGCAGATTAAAGAGCCCATGCCTTGTAAGAATGGGAATGAATACTGAACACATCTTGTAGGGAAGATCTTTTGGATCTAAGTGGAAGGAGGGGGAGAGACAGAATGTTCTAGAAGGGAAGGAAAGGCAGACTCAAGAATGTAGTTCTGGTGCCTAGGATCCTCGGGTAATGATGGTTTGGTGCTAACTAGGCCCAACTGGTCCTCAGTAGCCAAACCTCACATCATTCAGGTGGCCTCTGCCCCTACTCTCAGGCCTGAAAGTTATAATGGCCAACCAGCTCCATCACTTCAAGTTGAGATCCGTCTGAGCCCGTAAATCTAAGAAAAATAAGGTAACTGTAATAGAGAATACCATGAGTTACCTGGATGCCAAGTGACTCACCATGTTGTACCTGAGACCAGAGGGCTGGAGAGGAAGGGAGAGAAGAGGAGAGCTGCCCTAGCCAAGGGACCATACAAAGGCTTCATCTCATAACAGAAAATATTCCTGTGTATGAAAAGGTGTGCCTATCAAGTGGCTAAAAGTTGCCTAGTTTTAGGTTCATGCCAGGCCTGATACAGCCAAGGCTGAGGCTACTCTGGGCAGGCAGTTCACGGACTAAGGACTATTTGAGCAACTCCTCAGAGTGCCCTCGAGCTTCTTTATCGAAGGGTGAAGAGAGATCTTGGGTAATGTGTGTGCGTGTGTATATAAACATGATGGGAGGCAACCCTGTCCCTTAGGGAAGGTCCTACTTTTACCCATTCCACAATCAGAGACAAATTGTGGCCCAGAGAACTCAAGATAGTAAGAATGTAGAAGACTCAAAGAATCACTGTTCGTTTCTGTTTCCCCTTCTCCACTCCTAACCTAGCTTTGAGCCCTGAGATTGCTCAGTCCAAGAAGCCACGAGCATTGCAGCCCCTTGCCTTAATGCTGATCTGAGCCCCACAAACATTCAGAGGCTCAAAGGCTCTCCTGGAAAACAAAGCAACCCACAGGTCCAACTACAAAAGGTCCCTGTGCCACCATGTGGTGGTGCTGGCAAACTGCACCTGTCCCAGGTCTGGGCCAGGCCCAGCGGAGTCGCAGTGCTGATTCAGGTCTGAAGGATAAGCACAGCCAAGTACTGGGGAGAGGGGATGAGAGGTCAGCTAGGCCTGTGCAAGGACAGCATTTTTTGGTTGTGGTGTGTGACCATGAATTCACCCTCTATTTACAGATAACTCTCTTCACTATTCCTAGGAGGAAAAAGAAATGCATTCGGTACTTACCCGGAGAAGGCCGCTGCCCCAGCCCCTTTCCTTCCGATGACAGTACTCTAGGCTGCTCCGGGTCCCCAGCCCCTCAGGACTCACCCTCATACCTCCTGCTGCCTCACTTCCCTACTGCACTACTTGCTAGCCCTGCGGAACCGGCGCCTACATCACCAGGTCTCTCTGCGGCACTCAGCCTCCCAGCTCCCTGGGCCCCCACGGGCCCCCAGCAGTGCCCTGCAGAGTACACAGGTACAGCAACAGGAATTTTGGAGGCAGGCAGCCTAGCATGCACAGGACACCTGGCCTCCTCCAGGGACCCACTCTTTGAGAAGCAGCAACAGAGCCCCAAAGCACGTGGAAACCGATCAGGGGCCCTGTTAACTTCTTCTTAGGGTCCAGGTGCTGGAGATTTCAGAGGCTGCACAACTTCTGCCTGAACCTGGGGCCATCAATTCAAACTGCTCCGAGTGGTGCATCAGATCTGTGTTGTCATTTGATTTAAGGGCATCTCCTGTGCCGGTGGCAGCCTGCGTCTATTTTACCATCTGTCTGGTTAGCCAGATGCCCCTGCCTCCCTTCCTTTCCTGCTATAGATCATAGATGGACTACCCTGAGTTCAGCTGCTTTCTCTACCCTGCCTCCTCACTCCCCCTGCACTGCCACACCCTCCCCATACCGGACACTTCATGGACCAAGAATGAGTTGGTTTATTACACATGTAAGCCTGGTCACAACCACAAAGCTCAAAATGACAGTGCTTTTCTCTTGAATGCCTGGAAAAGCCATGTTTTATAAAAAACTAGCTACCATTTTTAAAGTGGGCCAGAGGAATCCTGCCGAATTCCCAGGAGCTTATAAGTGGATGGGATGAACAAGTTAGTTTAAATCTATACCCTAGGCAACAGAAAAACCTGACGCTACTTAATCTGGCTCTCTACTTCAAATTACTTGGAAATGATTCCTGAGAAACGCAATCGCCTAAGAAGCCCTGATATCAAAGCTCCAAGGCCTGCTACTAGTGGCTGTAGTCAATAGTTCAAAGAAGTTATGGCCCCAAATCCAGTGTGCATCCCTCCCCATTCTGAGGGCCTTTGTTATGGATCCATTTCCAGCTTATCCACCCCTTGGGCAGTGTTGAGGGCAAACCCAACCTTTTGTGACTGCCAGTATCTTTCAGCATGAAACCAGGCCAGCTTCAGATTTCCTATGGTTCTGTGGGAATGAGGACCATTATAACCAAAACAATAAGCCCAGAAAACCTTTACGGATAGACACTGGGTTTTCACCACAGCCTAATTTAACCCATTTATGAGCTAAGCTTCAACCCTGAGCCTTTAAAAAAATCTTTTTAATTTAACTTTTTTTGCCTCCTCACCATACATAGCCTCAATCCAAAGAAAAAGGGCTGTCCCTGTACCCACATACACCCTTCAACAAATGCCTTTAATACCTACTTTAGCCACTGGCTTCTCAGATTCCAAAGATCATGTATTCTAGTGTAGTGTTGCAGGAAGTTTTGAGGAAAAAGGACCATTGTAGTATTCAAAATATTTTTGTATTGTTAATGCATCATCATAGAAAAACTTTGAACGTGAGAATAAAGATACTTTTTCCTCTTGTATGCCCCTCCCCGCCCCCAAGCTTGACCCTGAGGAATAAGCTGTTTCAGAAAACAGGATGATAATTCTTTTCTTCACAGCCATGAAACTTGGGGTTTCTTCTCTACTATGGTACACATGTTAAAGACTCAACCTATAGAAGTCGGGGATTACTCTCACCTCCCCTTAAGGGGCTTGGGCCTGCCCGGCTCACGCTGCAGCTCCCATTCCAAGCCTTGCTCTGAACCCACCAACCCTGACCTAAAAATTGATGCAGGCACAGGCCAGCCTGCCTCCCACCCCCCTAAGACTATGTTGGAAACAGCTATCCACAAACCCTAAGACAATCCAACTAGAAATAGATGTACAGACCACTAGGCTCCATTTTCTGAGAGTTGAGATTAGACTAACCACTCCATAAGTACATATCCTATTACAAGGAAAATAAGTCTTTTTATGTACTGGTATAAACTCCAAAAAAAATAGAACGCTTTCCTCCCCAAAACTGTATGAAGGTGCTTAAGGTATCTCCATATTTTTATATAAAACCTGAAATTTGATAATTCTACAACCTATTTTTTACACAGCAGCTTCCATTAAAGTACATTGTTAACTTTAAGACCCATCATGAATGTAAAAGGTGTCATAAAGCCACCTCAATAGGTCAGTCAACCAACCACTGGGCCACCATCATGCATTGTAATTTTCACTGAGTTCTATTTTTTGGATTTTGTGTGTCAGAGTAGTGCCTATTTAAAGTAGGCCACTGGAAATTGTAATCTTGGAGTTGCTTTTTTCTGGAAGGGTGCTAGAGGAGACCAGCCATTCTCTTGACATCTGTCCCATTTAAAGAATTCCGCTCTGGCTACTGGCCTAGATGTTTCAAAAAACTACATTCTAACCAAGGCTTATGCAAGCAAGACTAGGTTGCTGCATCTGATTAGATGTCTTATTTAGAGTACACTGGGTACATGAACAATGCACTCTTTGTGTATGTGAGGGTAGGAAGGGGGGCTTTGGCAACATTGTTAAAATCAAGCCAGCCTTTTTAAAAAACTGACATCAAAGAGGAAATTCAAACCCTCCCGGATCACACACATTCCTATGAGGTCTCAGTGACTTGAGAGTGTCCAATTCAACTTCAAATACCATACCAGTTCCACCTTACTGCCAGCCTCGTTTTCTGAGACCTGAGACAAAATAACCTAACACGTCCTGTATATGTTCCCACACAACTGGCATATTTGCTTGAAATACAGATCTGGAGCCCTCTCCCGTTGCAGCTGCTCCCACTGTGCTCAGGATATTGTGATGGCTTAGCATGGCAAAACTAGCAGGGATTTCCTGATTTGAAGGTGTTTCTCTTTTATAGGAAGTCCCAGGGCTAGGATCTTCTGAGCTGTTAACTATCTTGAATGGCCCAGAAGCATAGCTATTCATTGTACAATAATCCTGGACAGGAAGGCCACACCTGGAGGGAAGAGAAATAGTTCTTTACATTGTTCCAAAAAGGGAATTGATTACTGTGTGCATCACTAGAAAAACAGCACAGAAGGAATTTGTCAGGCCTATATATCAAAGTAGAAGATTTGAGACCAAAAAATAATTCGTATCATAAAAACACTGAATTGGCTTTTGAGGTTGGAAAGGCTGTTTTAGCATGAGTTTTTCTCAGGTCTTTTCAGAACTTCAATAGTTCACCATGGGTCCTTGAGACCAAACTGGCTATGCAAGCAGATCCTGGTTCTTGAGTCAACTCACCCGGATCCCAATTATTCCAATCACTTTCTTTCTGAGATCTCAAATCACTACAGGATTCTAACTCGGGCTTCTGGGCTCTCCAATGTCTGGAGCAGCTAATAGATTTTAACCGGTCTTCTATTTAAAGTAGGCCACTGGAAAGTGTAATCCCAGACTTGCCCACAATGGACATGGTTGCCTGAGAGGAGCCCTAATTTCATGTATCCAAAACAGCAGAGAGTTTTTAAAAAGAACAGATGGGGATGTTCCCATAGTCAGTTCTGTAGAATAAAAGCCTAGCTCAGGTTAGGAGAAATTTGGAAGTAGTTAAAGGTAGTATGGGATTGGGCATAGAGTTAATTGGAAAGGGCAAATTCTATCCTAGGGATAGGAATTCTTCTATCCTAGGGATAGGAAATTCTCCTATCCCTGGCTATACTCATGAGTTAGATCACTAGCAATAAAAATAAAGGATAATTCAATAGCCATGAATTATATGGGAGATAATTAGAAGTTCAGGCTAAATTTCAAGTTCACGAGAGGCTCTGGACCATCAACCAGGGTTTATGTTTTCATTCAAGTGTTCTCTCATTCCTTAATTGGAAGTCTTCAGACATGTTGTACAGTCAATGTTAAGGGTGGGGGAAAGAAATATGGAGATGGAGGAGTTACGGTCTACTCACCACCACCCCCAATGCCACTCTGGAAACCCCTTGAATATAAATTTCTGACAGTGTAGTGCTCTGTATTCCTACCCCTCCTGTAAATCTGCTGATACAGAAATACCTGTAAACCATTTGAAGCAAAAAAAAAAAAAATTGAGGTTGTGAAATGGCATGGTCAGCACAGAAAGGGCACATGAATTTGCACCATACAGGTGGGAAGTATTAAAAGTGAAAAAACTTATGAAATAGGCTGATCCTCAGAGTGAAAGAAGAGGCTGGTATATAGCAGGTTAGGTTGACTTTTATTTTTTCATATTTTCTTACAATTTACTGCCTAGAACTGAACACATTCTTTAAAATATCGGATTAGAAGATATCAGAAATATTACAGCTTTTGTTTGAGATGTTATGTTTCTATTCATGTAGAGTAAAACAGATTGGCTTTTTTTTAAAAAAAAATCCTCACTCAATGATATATTTATTGATTTCAGATTGATTTCAGAGAGGAAGGGAAAAGAGAGAAACATCAATGATGAGAGAATCACTGATCGGCTACCTCCTGCACACCCCACACTGGGGATTGAGCCCACAACCTGGGCATGTGCCCTACCGGGAATCAAATGTAACCTCCTGGCTAGGCTAAAATATAGTGATTTTTGAAAACAGTAAAATAAGGAGTCTAGTTGTAAAAACCCTAAATATTCAGAACACTTTAGTCCAGCAATTAAAAAAGAAGTTTTAGTTCTAACATTCAAAAATAGCAATGTAGCCGGAACCGGTTTGGCTCAGTGGATAGAGCGTCTGCCTGCGGACTGAAAGGTCCCAGGTTCGATTCCGGTCAAGGGCATGTACCTGGGTTGCGGACACATCCCCGGTAGGGGATGTGCAGGAGGCAGCTGATCGATGTTTCTATCTCTCTCCCTTCCTCTCTGTGAAAAATCAATAAAATATATTTTTTTAAAAATAGCAATGTCTAACATAAGTCTGATAAACACTCTTCCTAGTGTCACAAAAATCCTGTCACCGATCTGGCTTTAATGTTTCTTTCCAGCCAATAATCGCCAGCAGACCTACTAACACCCAACCTCTACTGCCAGTTCCAGACTGAGCACTGCTTTCCCTCCCTCACCTTGGCATCCCTCCACCCCCAACCAAAACTAGCTTCACTTTTGAAACTAAATAAAGTTTCCTCATGAAACATCTCCTAGACCCTTCCAATCCCCTAGCCCCCACTTTTACTAATTAATCTTCTGTCCAGGAACGTTTTTATTAAAGTTACCCATTCTCTCCCAGCAGTATTTATGCTTTACCACCTTAACTATATTCCAAAAGCTCCCAAGAAGGCAACCATGTCTCACCCTTCCTACAAAGGATAAGCCAGGAGCTACACTTTAGGTATTCAACCATTTCATATGCTTTGCTTTTACTTGCGTTATTCTCCCTTATTCTCCCCCTTCCTAGCTGGAAATCAGTTTTCACACAAATCTAAATAATCGAAGATTATCAACTTTTTAAAGCTCAAGCAAGTTAGTAGGGAAAACATTTGAGTCCTCCCCACTTGAATGTATACTGAGCTTCAGAAAAATAAAAATAAAAAAGACCTTCAAATGGAAGTGGTGGCAAACAAAAGTTAAGCGCCGAAAGATGAGTGAGATTCTGATGTTCATGGATTCGGTAAAGGGTGCTCAGAGCATGAAGTCTGTTTTTCTTTCAGTTCTCTTTCCTGATGAAAGCCCCTGTTCAAACTGCCCTATTAAGAGCCTAGACAACCTACCAATAATTTTTTTAATTTACCCTTGGACCAGAAAACAAATTACAGGATTGGCCAATTTTTAAGTAAATTAAGAGCTCATGAGTTTTGGAATATCTGCCCACCCTAAGTCACATGCCTATAGTGACTGTTACCTTCTCCAGCTAGTTCCAAGCTAAGCTCAGCACAGTCCAAGCAGTCTGCCAAATTATAATATAGGTCTTGCTTAGTTCCAGCAGCTGGTGTGTTCAAACAGTTGTAGAATAAACAAATCACAACTATAATGTCACTCAAGCATCTGTATTTTAAAGGGATGTCTTTGTGAATCTTTGGAAAAATATAAAAATTGTAAAGCAATACCTACCTTTGTGTGTTGCTAAAGGTAGATTTATGAAGGCAAGCTAAATAAACTATGGGCATAATTCAGGATATTGCAAGTTCGGTTTCAGAGCACCACAATAAGTGAGTATTGCAATAAAGCAAACCGTAATCCTTTTGTTAGTAGAGTCTCTTGTCTTCAATTAGTAAAACACCTATTAAGTGCCATGAAGTGAAATGCAAGAAAACAAGATCTGCCTGTATAACCACTTCAAAAGAAGTAACTTGCTTTTACAATTTAAAATTAGAATCTATTGGAGGAGCTACATCCTTAGTCCATGACAATGTTAGGGAGAAATAATAAGGGCTTTGGTTTCATTTTCTCTCAAAAGTGACATAGTCAATGAAAAACTAAAAAGTCAAATGACTCTCACAGAGGTCTTAATTACCAAGAGCACCACACTGCAGGTTAACTACTGTTTCCAACTTATCCAGGCCATGCAGGCACTAAAAGGCAGAGGGAGGACTCCAGCCTTACAGTATGACTTCATGCCACAGTATTAGTTTAGAAAAGCTGGGAAGTGAGGACAGGCAGGAGTGGGTATATCTTTGAAGACAGGTTTGGCTACTATGGGAAAGGGCCACTCGTGCACAAGACGAGGGCGGAAAACTCTTTAAAAAAAAAAAATGTTTATTGATTTCAGAGAGAAAGAGAGAGGGCGAGGGAGATAGAAACATCAATGATGAGAGAGAATCATTGATCAGCTACCTCCTGCACGCCCCCTACTGGGGTTTGAGCCCACAACCTGGACATGTGCCCTTGACCTGAATCGAACCCAGGACCCTTCAGTCCGCAGGCCAACGCTCTATCCACTGAGCCAAACTGGCTAGGGCGAGAGCGGAAAACTCTTGGTAGACATAGTAAAAATAGCATATAGCAAGAAAAAGGGGAAAGGGTAGGAAGAGTGCTGCAGCTAGCTTAAAGGGCCTCTTAATACCAAGCCTATGATTCATTTGGGTACACGGTATCTACAACTGGCCTACTCTTGGATGAGCTGTCAGATCTATATTAAACACTAGAGACCTGGTGCACAAATTTGTGCACGGGTGGGGTCCCTCAGCCTAGCCAGCGATCAGGGCTAGCTGAGGCCAGCTGGCCTGGGAGAGGGACCACAGGAGGTTGGCTGTGCACGTCACAGTGACCAGTCGTTCAGTCATTTGGTCGCTTAGGCTTTTATATTTATAGATGAGTTCAAGATTATCAGGACATTTTTATTTGTTTAAAGACTAGAGCCATGGTCTACAGAAAGGGAACAAAAATTTGAACTACTCTACTGTCTGTCCACTCAATCTTAGCTATTCAGAAAGGTCCCAGTATACTTTACATATTGGTAATAAAGCTATTTAGTCCTGTAATTCTAACAATTTGGGGGAATTATACAGATTAAGAGCTAATAGTAATAGGCTTTTGTTTCCTAGAAGCTAATACTTCGTTTCCAAATTAAACACAGCATATGCTAATAATTTTTGACTTTCAGTAAAGGTTTATGTTTGTCATAATATTGCTAGGGATATACTTGGGGTGGTTAAGGTTTTTGTAAGAATTGGCCATTATTGCAGGAATTAGCAGATGAGATACTCCAGCCAGATGGAACTCTGCCATATTCTCCACTAAAACCAAGGTAAGTGGAAAACAAGTTTACTCTCTGAGAGTAAAGGGAATCAGGGATCCAGAGGTAGTCACAGGGGTTGACAAAGTAAACATTTTAGGCTTCGGGTCAAGTACAGTCTGTGTGTGTGTTTTAAATTGATTTTGGAGAGAGAAACATTGATCAGTTAGTACCTTCAGTACGTGCCCTGACCGGGGATCGAACCTGGCACCTTTTGGTGTACAGGACAACACTCCAACCGAACCACACTGGCCAAGGCTCTGTGTGTATATTTAATGATCCTTTAAAAATGTAAAACTCAGCATTGACTAGGTGGTTCTGTTGGAGCATCATCCTGGACACCAAAAGGTTGCAGGCTCAATTCCTGGTCAAAAACACATACCTAGGTGGCAGGTTTAGTTCTTGGTTGAGGTGCATATAGGAGGCAACCAATCAATGTCTCTCTCTCACATCAATGTTATGTTTCCCCTCCACCTTCCTCTCTCTCTAACATCAATGAAAAAAACATATCCTTGGGTGAGAATAAAAAAAAGGTTTTTTTTACAACAAAAAAGAGTAAAAATCATTTTTAACTCACAGACTGCAAAAACGCTGTGAGCTGGATTTCACCCACACACAGGTTGTGGTATACGATCTCCAGTATGGTCAACAAATGGGGATTCATGTGGTACAGCATATGGGACTTTATGTAATAAGGCAGATTTGGAGCAAATAAGAGGGGAAGTTGAGTTAAGCTGCTGTCAATAATCTCGCCAGAACAGCTCATGAAGAGAACACAATAAGGCTACATGTGAATACGGATGATGCTGAATGGGAAAGGAAGAAAAAAGGAAATAGAAGAAAAAACACATTTGTGAATCATCTCATGCCACCAAAAAAACTTCATTCTACTGTAGGGGAGAGGCTGGAAACAATGACAGTGTAGTTTTGTGTGCCTGAGTACACCATTTAAGAATTAAAACACTGGCCCAGCCAGTGTGGTTCAGTGGTTGAACGTCCACCTCTGAACCAGGTCAAGGTTCAATTCCTGGTCAGAAACATGCCCAGGTTGTGGACTTGATCCCCAGTGGGGGGCATGCAGGAGGCAGCCGATCAATGATTCTCTCAAAAAGAACTAAAACACTGGCTCCAGCCAACCTTTTAATGACATTAGGAGACAAATGTCTATCAGAACCCTATTGTTATGTCAGCAGCTTCAGCAACCTAGTCCTGTCTACGAGTCTTTTTCAGCTACAGAACCATTCATAAATTTAACTCATATAATACTAAGTGAAGAGACACATTTAAGTACACAAAAGCAAACCGTTTACTACCTACTATGTAACTTACTTTTTATTGAAAGTATCTTGCATTCATGCTGGATGCTTTCTGGGTTTTGCCACACATTTTAATGTTAAAGGTTAAATTTTTTTGTTTTTTACATGCAAGTAGTGTAAATAGTTTTGCCCATATGGGATCACTGATTATAAAAAGATGACATACCACAAGGGCTGTCTTTTTTAATTGAAAAGCTAACAACTGCATAGTTATATTTCCCCCAAAATCACAAACTGAGTAGTAGTAACTCAGTCTCTAACCAACATAAGATTAAAAATGCAAAAACAAGTCCTCAGATTCAATTAAGGAAGCCCTGCTACATATGGGCTAATCAATACCAGTGGTACTCCTTGACTCCAGGAAGCTGAAAGACATCCTAACAACCCCACTCAGAACATTTACCTCAAGTAGACTTTTCCAGCTCCCAACTCATGAATAAAGATAATACATTGTTAATTCTATTTCAGAAAACTTTTGCAAGTTGTTTTATTTACAACGCCAACTTTTGAAAAGTCACTAAACTAAAGTTAACTGGACAATAAACTAGGCAGAAATCGCTTTGCAAAAAGAGGGAAAGCCCAAAATGCCACTTTCTATAGAGAACCCACAATTCAGTTTTATTCAGAGCAAAGAAAAGATATTTTGATCATACTGGAAAAAACTCAGCCATAGATTTGGAATCTGTACCCAAACTACACATGCAATGAAGACAATATTCTGCTAATACAATTGATTTGCTGCTGCATTTGTCTACTGTTTGCCTAATATTAACAATTATAAACAGAGCAGTGCAACTAGTATTTGGAACAATCCTTACAGTGTTACAGTGTCAGGCACAACTTTTCACTTCTCTTCACACCACTGGTTCTCTTTGCGTACCTAGAAAAAGAGATGGATATAAGAAAGTACCTTAAGTAGTCTTTCCTAAGACTAATACTTAGTAATTCATTAATAATCTCCAAGGTTGATCATAAAGAAACAGATGGAAAACTGGAAAAACACCAGGTTAATAGTAAACTTCCTAGTCACCCTTCTTTTCCTCCCCTAGGTTATTTTGCCCTGCTGAAATTATCAAAAAAGCAAAGGCATGCCCAGCCAGTGTGGTTCAACATAAGCACTGACCCAGGAACCAAGAGTTCACTGGTTCAATTCCCTGTCAGGACACATGCCCAGGTGGCAGGCTCCATCCCCAGCAGGAGGCAGCCAATCAATGACTTTCTCTCATCATTGATGTTTTTATCTCTCTTGCCCTCTCCCATCCCCTCTTGCTAAAAATCAATAAAAACACATTAAAAATCCATAGCCTGTTTTGCTCAGTAGATAGAGCATCGGCCTGAGGACTAAAGGGTCCAGGGTTCGATTCCAGCTGGGTGCACATGCTCGGGTTGCAGGCTCAATCCCCGGTAGGGGGCATGTAGAAGGCAGCCAATCAATGATTCTCTCTCAACATTGATGTTTCTCTCTCCTCTCTCTCCTCTCTCCCTCTCCCTCGCCCTCTCCCTCTCCTTATCACTTCCTCTCTGAAATCAATAAATATATATATTTTTAAAAGAATCTACTTTACATAGTCTTTTCCTCTGTAAATTAAAATATATTTTAGCTGAGATTTATTTTTTTATTTATCTGTTTATGTATCCAACAAGTATTTGCTGAAGCCCTAAAAGGCTCCAGATGTTCTAGGTGCCTTGCTAGGAATATAGGAGAAAAAAATA